TTATGTAGGTTTTTTTTTTTTAAGATTTATTTATTTATGCATACAAGAACTAGGATGGGGGGGCGGGGGCGGGGCGGTGAGAGGAGTCACCAGAGACACAGTGGGGGAACAGAACAGGTGGATTGACTGAAATACACTGCTGAGGGCAGCAGTGGGTGAGACAGGAGAGGTCTGCTGCACCATGTGGGTAGCTCCCTGGCTGGGGATTGAATAAAATTCATGCAGCAGTGGCTGCAGATATCTTTATAGGTTGTGTCTTTTTTTTTTTTTTTTTTTAAAGATTTATTTATTTATTTGTTTGTTTATTTATTTATTTATTTATACAAGCACTGGGTACAGTCAGAAGCGCGGGAGGGTGAGAGAATTCACCAGAGCCAGAGCGGGGAGCAGAGCAGGCAGAAGGACCGAAGTACACTGCTGAGGAGAGCAGCGGGCGGCAGGAGAGGTCTGTGCGCCATGTGGGACCCTCCTCTGGTAGCTGGGGAGCAGCCGGGGATTGAACTGGTGCTGCAGAGGCTGGGGCAGCTTCGCAACCCAGTGCTCAACCGCTGCGCCACCGGGGAGGCCCTATAGGTTGTGTCTTAACCCCATGCACCATCAGGGAGGCCCTAGGTTTTTTGTTTTTTTTTTTTTAAGGGAACTAGTGGACTAGAGGCAGTACAAATTGCCAGTGCAACTGATAAATATGGTCAGAGATAAGGCCCCAGCTACAACTGATAGCATAAATAACTGAGAAAGTCTTCAGATTTCTTATATTCACACTGCCCTCACTTAACTCATGCAAATTAAGGTTGCAAGAAGGCAAACTGGCCAAATTCTGACATACAAACATTAAAATTAGAGCTTCAGAAAGGAATTTGTTTGCATAGTACTATAATAGCCGTGTACCTATATGCAGCTAGCCACTACATTCTTCTTTAACACACTTTCTGAAACCAAAGTAGCAATTTTATCTACATTTTCATAAACTATATTTTTTTCTCAAACTTTTTACCTAGTGAATTGTTTGAAATAATAACCTGAACCTTTTCTAAAAAGACAGTGTTTTCATATGAAATAAGCTTTTGCAGTTCTAGAATATTATACTGACCATTCTTGGAATTTTTACATTTTTCTTTATTTGTATTCACTTTTAAAGTAATTTGTTCTGTTTTCTTTGCTGAAGATAGCTCAGAATTCATTAAAAGCATAGCCCATTAAAAATTACCAAATTAGCAATTTTATAATCAAATAATATTCAGCTGTGCTAGTAGTGCTCCAGCAAAGCAGATAAACCCTACTGGTGGGAATGTAAATTAGTACAATTTTTCTGGAGGGCAATGTGACAATATTCTTTATCTTAAATTTGTCATACCCTTCACTTAACATTACTCTTTGTGAAATTCATCCTAATGATAGAACCTGTAGGTAGAATATATGAAATACATAAATGTTAATAATCTATACAAAGGAAATGACATAAACATTGACAATAAAATGATTACATGTAGCACATCCTATGATGAATTATATAGAAATAAAAATTGTTTACAAGATTTTTAATGACATAGGAAACTTCTTCATATAATTAAATGGAAATATGAGATGCAAGACTTTGGTATTTTCTTACATATATGAAAGTTACATCAAAACTGGTCATCTCTCAATTGTAGGATTATCAACAATTTTTTTAAACTTTCCTTATACTTTTATAATGGATTTTCAAAACTTGTTTATTAACATCCAGTAAATCAAAGTTTGCTAATTCTACTACTTTGCACAGAAATTCTGATTTTCAACAAGTGAAATATGTTTGGCAGATTATAAATACTAGGGAGTATAAAAGTACTTTTAAAATCCAGAGATTTAGATTCTACACACTATGGAAAAAGGAAGAGCTCTAACATATGTCAAACCATCTCTAATTAATCCCTAGCACCAGGAAAGTGCCTGGAACACAGGAGTGATTCATTAGCTCAATGTTTATTAAAAGGGACCTGAGGCACATTATTTAACACTGTGAATAATAACTTCATTTTTTCCTGTGTAAGAGGAAGATTCTCTCCCTGTTTTATTTCTGTACTAAATAACACTATAGAAACCAAAAGTTGAAACAAATTCATCTAAAAATATTTGTACTAGAGATACTGATGCGAATAAGATTAGGTCCAAAATTACATGGGTTGTTAGGAGACTAACTTGGTGAGAATAAATTTTTCCAGAATTAATAGGACACACAATTTATGGATTTTCTGGAAACTCTCAATCCCTACTCAGAGACAACCTTCATAAAAAGGCAGTGGATTATTTTGAGGAGATGATATTGGCTTGAAGAGAAGGTGGAGTAAGTAGCAGCCTATAATTTGAGAACCTATGAGCAAATTGGACTTGAACTAGTTTGCTATATTTAAGATCTCTATAAATACTGCCATTTTATAATTCTTTGGAAATACCCTGTCCCAAAATATTTCTCTTCACCAGTCATTCTAAGAAAATGTGTACCACTTGTTTCTTTGAGTCCTTAAAAATGGCCTTTAAAGAGTATAGTTAAATTGTAGATACACAGTAGCTGGTGGTAAAACACTACCTTATCTGGTATGAAAGGTTGAGATTGGAACCTGGAATAAACTTTCCCAGATGAGAACTGAAATTATGACAGTATCAGACAAACCGGGCCTACATCAGTTATATAGGGTGCTAACTTTGAGGATAGACTCCTGTGGAATAGTCTGAAATAATCTGAAAGTGAGACTGTCTTATACATGGACAGTCTGATTCAGTATGCCATTATTGTTAATATTTACTAAATTCTGCAAAATTGTGGCAGTTTGGGGACTGACCTTGAATGAATGAAGAGAATAATCATTGCTGATCACTTTGGGGTGGGGGTGGGGGATTAAGCTCTTAAACTAAAAATAAAATGAATTGTACTGGTAAGAAAGTTATTTCTCTGAATAAATTGTTTTTCATTTTGGAGAATGAATTAGTGTTCTGAAAAAGCTAAGTTTTACATCAGTAGATTTTATAAATATTTGATGAGGATACCCAATTTGTAGTTTGTCATGAGATAGTACTTGTTCTATCATTCTATATTGAAAGAAATCAGAATTTGGCAATACGAATTTTAGTTAATTGTCTTTGTGTACTTCTTAAACTGCCCAGGAATATTGTATTTATCTGTCAGATACTTTATTATTTTGGTATTAGAGAATGAAAAGAGTTGATGACATTTCAGATAATTTTTTGAAAGAGCCAGGTTGAAAAAAATATAAAAGTAATATACAGACAGTTTAAGTTCTGAACATAGAGGAAGAAATTTATTAAATAAAAGCAATGAATTAAAAAATATAACAAAAATTCTTTATATAATTCAATAACTAATTCTATTTTATACTGATTTACAGAAAATCACATTATAGAATGCATATATATCACTTGTAATTATAATTCATTACATTTGATGTTGTTAGAACAGTCAAAATTTAAGCCATATTCTTTTAAGTCTAAATCCACCAATCACAAATTACTCATTATATTGATCTAGCACCTTTAATTATTGGTAATATTCTTTAATTTTTTAAATCCTATTTGTTAGAAGTATGTACTTCCATAAGCTTTATGTTCCCAAAAGAGATTAATTTTAGATTTGTTAGAAAGAATCTAACATTTCTCTAAATCTGTATTATTTCTCTTAAAGTAGTTCTATTCATATGAATTTGAATCTTCAAATGGATTTCTCTTCTCCCTTCTCCACCCACGTACCAACTATCACATTGCAATTAACTCTGATTTTTTTGTTAATTTGATTACAATGAATATTCAAGTTATCATCCTATGTTATCACTAGAGATTTTAAATGGTTTAACTTCTACATACCCCATCGTGTACATACCCCATTTACTCTTAGATGTCTGTGCAATACCTCATTAAAACATTTGAAGAAATAAGCATAAAAACAAAATAAGCATTTCTGAAAATGCACAACACCTTGAAATTGCCAGGAAATGATAATAAGGAATTGTGTGCAGAATTAACCAAAACGTACTATGAAAGATTTCATTTCCCCATGAAAGATTTTTAAAAACATGTTAACCATTGTTTCATTCAATACTTAGTTGAATGCTGTCTTGAAATTTGAAAGCTGAGAAGCATGATGTTACACATTAATACTGAGAATATTATTTGTTTAACAAAACTCATTCTGCTTCATTAGATTAGATTGTTAGATTCAGGAGAAAACAGTGTCTTAAAATACATTTATTTTGGTTGTGTTTTGTGAAAAATCCCAATGAAGTAAAACCACTTCTGTTTCCCCTTCAAGTTAGCAGACTTAAAAGAGAGCGTCATTGATATTAAAAATTAAATTTGTGACTGATATACATAAAAAGGAAGACAAATGTGACTTTACAATAATAACTAGATTCTCTTTTCTCAATTAAAATAATGGTCTTAAATGTTTTTCTCTTTACCTACCTCTATAGTTATATGCTAAGCTACAGATTTTGGTATATAGTTTTTAATTGTTCTACTATATTTCATATGTAAACTCTAACAGATTATTCTAAGCTTAAAATTATATGTTTACACAGATATGTGATTCTCTCTATAATGGATTTACAGTAACCTAGCAAGCCCTTTTATTTGAGAAGGGACCCTTGAAGATAATTAACATATGAAGTTTCATTTTAGTGTAGCTTTAATCACTGATGTCACATAAATAATCTGGTTACTTTTCTTTGGCAGATTTTCCATAAATACTAGGAGAGTCGCCATGAATCAATTTTGTCACACAGAGTGACTTCAAAGTGATCTTTACTGAGTTTTCTTGGATCCTTGCAACTGGAACTTTTGGGGTTGATGAGATTTGTCGGGAGGACAGAAAAGATGGTGCCACTTCAGATCTGATATTCCTGGGTCTGGACTTAAAGATTATCTGTTGAAGATTGATTCTTCCCCATGTCCTCTCCAAATTCAGATCTCACTGCTCCAGAGGTTTAGAAGGCCCTATTTCACCACTGCCACACAGAAAAAGACAAAACTCAAGAAAAATAATATTACAAGTTGACTGCTCTACAAGACAAAACAATTCTTAGTTTAGAATTTCATGGTATATAGCACCCTGCCAGCATGCTGTTAATAGAACAAGGAATGGGATCAAAGGCATAGTTCAGTTGAACTTAAAGTTATTTAATTTCTTCCCCAGTGTAACTTACTGTACCCTTCAAATGTGAGGTGGTCTTACTACTAATTTAACTATTCAGCTTTTGTGACCCTGTTTTCTTGCTTGATCCAAGCTGGAGTGGGGAGGGTACATAAGTATGCAACATAAAATAGGTAGGTCAGTAGGTAAAACAAAGTGTTTAGGGAAGACAGTTAAGAAGTGTTTTCCTTCAAATAAAATAATTGTACAAAGTAACTTACTTAAAGCTAATTGCAAGTATGATTGAATCCTAAATCTAACAAATTTAAAAGTTCATTTTCTTTTTACTGAGTGCCTTTAGCCATTCACAATGTTTTCTTCAAATAATAAGTGTTGTATATACTTAAATGAAAATAAAGTACACACGGAGGAGGAATTTTCCCTCATGTCAAACCTCGCCTAATCTCTTTAAACCTCTCCGAATCTTAACTCTCCTAATCTGCCCGTTATTCTAGGTATAAGAATACTTTTTATAGCAAATCTTTATCCTTATAATAATGATCTTTAATTTTTTGAGATCATCTCTTAAAATATTTCTCCCCACATTAGAGAACATATAATCTATTTGGGAAAAAATTTTACTTTCATAGTCCTGATGTTTAGTCCTCATCCTGAAATGAGTTGCTGATTTTGGTTGGCATAAGCAGTTGGGTCAAGAATAAAATGAACGTAACTTCTGAAAGTTTAAAAGGAGTTTTATAGATTGTCTAACCTGCTGTATTTCTTTCTCAAATAGGTAAATACAGAAAGTTTTGTATATTTTCTCATGTAAAATTAATATTTCTTACAGTGAAATCATGTCTTTTATACTTTTGTTCTCCTTTAATCCTAGAGTTTCCAGTATTTTATTACACTCATGACTGACATATTCACTTGTAAACCAACTACTGAATTGTAATCTTCACACAATCTTGCTGAAATAAGAGGATGAGAAATTATAATGAATTCCTGCCCCCTAGTGATCTGTGTTGGATTTTGATAGAAAGGATGAACAATTATGTCAGTACTAATGGACCTCAGTGTTTGGTGCTCCTGAAAATAATAAGGAACTTAAATAGTTTAAATTCTGTATGCTTGGATTTTTAATGTAAAATATTTAAAAAGTTTAAACTTAAAGTCAACCGAACATTTGCATATGTTGTTCAAAATTAGCATGAGCTTACAAGCCACTATTGTCATTAATATGAATATTTACTAATAGTCAGAGATACATTCTATATCCTTGCATTTTTGTTTCTTGCCAGCTATAAATTTATAACTATCAATAGTTGAATTCCAGCTGGTTATTGTATGGGACTATACCCCTGTTACCAAGTAATGTCCTTGAGTTGGACAGTAGGCAATGACTGAGGGCCACCTAAATGGTGACATTATCCATGGAATCTTCACCATCTTCTTTTAATCTTACTTGAAAAGTAACACTTGGCAGATGATAGAGATTATTACAGTGGTACCTTTAGCATAGAAATCAGGCAATTGATGTGAAAAGTTAAAATCAGATTCACTCGAGAGGGAAGTTATTTCACTTAAACCACTCAACCATGTTTAAGAAAGTTTAGTTTACACTAGCAATTTGTATTTTTGGTAAATTGAATTACAAGCGGCTAGAATAACCAACTTTTGTTTTTAGGCAAACTTATAGTGCTCTATAAACTTCAATCAAATAAATCACAATATAGTAATTAGGAATTTTGGTTTTTAGCCAAGGAAATGAAAATTTTCTTATCCACATCATCTGTTAAAGCAAAAAGCAGCAGCATGTTTTTCTAGGGTCCTGGTTTTCCTTGGAAATATTTATTTTCAAATGATTTCAGTTATTCATCAGTCTCATGCCCAATAAAAGGAAATGAATGATCATTGGTGGGGGAGATTAAAAGAGGCCAGGAATAGGGAAAAAGTGGTGCAGTGGGGGAGTCACATCCTGGAATGGCTGACAGTACCACTGAATGTTTTAAGTTTAAATAAAGGAAAATTAAAACATGTTAGCTTTAATACTTATTTCTAAAACATCATTCTGAATGACCGATTTCAAGTAAAGTTTTGTATTTGACTGATATTTCACATTTGACATGTTCATTAGGTAACAGCTACCTTACCAGGCACAGCAGATGACAGATGACCAAGAAGCAGATTGTTTTATTGCATGTGTCCCTAGGCTGAAAAGGCCCTTCTTTTGTACTTCTTGGTAGGTAGAGTATATAGCTTAGTGGCTAAGTACAGGAATGTAGAAATCAGTCTAATAATTTAGTTTCTGTGTGATCTTAGGAAAAATACTCATTTCTCTGAAATGAGTCCCTCATCTGGAAAATTAGATACTTACCTCATAAGGCTGTGAAATTTAATTAAAATTACATGTGTAAAGTACTTAAAAATGTATAGAGTGCAATGCTGAGGTAACCGAGACCCTTAGGATGAATGGGGCATTGGTTTCCAAATCGGTGCTGCTTCCAGCTTCAAGTTCTTATTGACACCAAATATAACTACTTTCATTCCCTAGAATTTATCCTGCCACCCCAGTTTGTGCTGCACCTCAGGTATCAGGGAGATGGGAGACATTCCACAAGGCCATGTTCCCACAAAGCTTTTTGGTACCCTGGAAACCTAGTTGTAGTCGCAGGATGCCAGCAGAGCACAGGCATTTATCAGTGAGAAGCATTTGTCGCAGAGGAGGTGGGGAGGGTGGGGTGGAAAGATGAGGAACTGATCAAAGTAGATTAATGGCAAAAGAAAAAGAATTGCAATTCATGATACAATTGTTAAAAATTAAAAAATACACCAAATTTCAATTATGTGTTTACCTACCATTCAGATTTTCTTTTGGTTGGTACTGACTTACCATTTTACTAACAATGACAAGTTTTATGTTTAAATATTATAGTTGTTACACTGGTTCTTTAAGGGATTTTCCAGAGATCTATTAAATATGGAAGCTTCTTAACTAATGTAGAACGTGTTTAACTGGATAGAAAGTTCCCAACCACCAACAGCCTCTCTTCCACCTGTTTTAGAATACAAAGTTGGTATATTATCTAGACATATCCTTGGTATGTTCATAACAATTGTTCTATGAGGCATTTTCTACTTCTAATTCAATCATCTTAAATTATTTTAACCTAAGAAATCATCTCATCTATTCATCTCACCTAGAGAATTTTAATGTCTATTTTCTTAAATTTTTATATCTTGCCCATATTTTTCTCAAATTTTTATTTTTAAAAAAAATTTATTTATGCATACAAGAACTGGGGTCTAGGCCAGAGGCGTGAGGGGTGAGAGGATTCACCAAAGTCAGAGTGGGGAGCAGAACAGGTGGACTGACTGAAATACACTGCTGAGGGGAGCAGCGGGTGAGACAGGAGAGGTCTGCTGTGCCATGTGGGGCACCTTCCTGGCCAGGGAGCGAACTCAGACCAAGGATTAAACTCAGGCCTTAGTGATGATAGGGAGATAGCACTGAGACTTAACCCATAGGCCACTAGGGAGGCCCCAATATTAGCCATTTTACTTATGTGTGCTTTATTAATCTCTGAGAGTCTTCATTGCCTTCACAGCACTGGAGGGCAAGAATTAGGGACTTACAGCTTAGAGAAAATGTGAGGTGTGGTATGTGAATTATAAACATCTGTTATCTAAAACTAGTGATAATGTTTAATGTTTATCAAAATACTAAATTAAAGCCTCCTTTCCTATTTGAATAGATAATCCTTTCTACAAAGAGGTAGTATTTAGGAAGAAATATGTTCCCTAAAAGTGGGAAAGCCATTCAATACATTCTGATGAGGATGGCATGATGGTTTTTTTTCCATCAGAAAAAAAAAAAACAAATCCAAAGAATACACTAAGATACTGTATAGTTTGGTAGCTGGTTTTTGGGTTACTGGACTTTTATCATTCCATTAGTAATGTATATATATCTCATCTTAAGTGGCATTTCAGATAACTTAATGTATCCAAAACTAAGATGAATCACTGTTTTTGCTTGTTCTGCTACATGGGTTCTTAAAAATAATTCTCTATTTCTCAATTTTGTTCTTGTTTGTTTCTCCCAATCTGTACTTTCTCATTTTAATATTGTACTGGCTCCTGTACTATTTCTATTCTTAATACCTTCAATGTATCCCCATAAATTGCTAAGTTCACATTTTTCTAACGCTTCTCTTTCAACTAAATCTGTGTAAGTCAATTTTCTCGGCAACTTGTTCTTTTATGTACATTGTCTACAAAAGTATGAATTGCATATTTTAAAAATCTGATGTAAACAAAGATTAATACTATTAAATTACTCTTCATAGTCAGAAAATTATACTTCTAAGTGAGTTATTTAAAATCCCTTTCATTATGAGAAAGGTATTTAGCCATTCATATTAAAAGGCATCTAGTTAATAAATGTGCTTATAGGTGGGTCAGTATTGCCAGTGTGTTAATTTATATGTAATTTATGTAAACGGTGTGTCAGCTACTTCACTAAAAAATGATAAACCTTTTTCATTGTATGCTCTGTGATTTTTTTTTATAGTTCTTAAATTTTGTAGTCCTTTATAGAAAAAGAAAAAGACATGGTGATAAACTGTAATTTGCTACAACACATTTCCTCCAAATCTCAGATAATGTAAAACACAAGACATTTTTTTGCACACTCTACTTTTATAGAACAACCAGATTTGTAATTGATTTCTTTATTAGTTTTATCAGTATACACGGCAGCTTTCTCAAGTCTCAAAGTAAGTTCCAAAAGTATGTAATTTTAAAGGTGAAAAATCAGTTTGCTTCAGATGTCATACTCCTAGAAAGCTATTAGTCTATTTATAAACAAAAATAATTGATAAACTAACACACTTTAGAAATCAGAATATTTTAAATTATTTTAAATGAATACAAGATATGTCTTTTAATTAACTATCATAGTTAAATTTAACATCACAAAGCAAAATGACTTGTCCCCACTAATTCCTCAAGTAGGGTAAAGTCATTGGGTTTTACACTTAATATAAGTTTTAAATATGATTATTAAATGATAATATTTTATCAATTATAGGAAATATTCATTTATAGGAATTTCCTTAGGTCCATCAATGTTTTAGGCTAAGTTTGAGCCCATGTCAACCTTCAAGGTTAGATTCACTGCACCTAACCTGCCTAATAAGCTTCTCAACTTAAGAATATGAATTTCACTGAGCAGGGGGAATAAACAGTGGTTAAATCACTGTTCAACATATAAAAAAATAAAATAAAAGTTGAATGTGAATAGGAGTGTGTACTTACTTAAAATTTAAAATTAGTCAGGAATGGACAATGTTGGGTTTAAAATTTCACATAATCCTAAAAAAACACTTAGAAATATTGAAGTCATCACCTTATTGATAAAAAACTAAAGTTTAATAGTCATTGAAGGGGTAACAACCACTTGTAATCTACATTTAAAAGTAATTTTAATCATAGCTAAAACAAACTAAAAACAAAGAATTCTATTAAGAAATAACAAAAAGAATAAGCGTTTAATAACACCTAAGATATAGATACTTAAGATCCTAAACAAAAATATTTAAGATAAAAGGGCCTTGAAATTGTTTCCAACAATTCATCTTATAAAAACAATTTCTAAATAGCTCATATCTTTTGCTTTGGTGTTTTGTCTGCTATCAACTAAACATTAGTACAGTAGAAAATCACTTATGTTCTTTTCAAATGCTTGGCATTATAATGTGATCTCATATCTTTCCTCAAATTAAATTTTGCTCCACATATTCCACATGTATACAGATGAACATCCATGTGCTGTTCCAACTGTTCATTATTGGGGAATATCTGAAAGCAGACCTGGCATATCGTCTCACCAGCAGATAAATGCGAAATCATATGCCGTACATGGTCATGTTTTCTGAAGTTTCCTTGATCACAAATGGAACAGACATACCTGGCCATGCCTTTGTGCATATCATTGTGCAGTCGCAACTGACGTTCTCTTAAAAACTGCTTTCCACATGTCTGACAAACAAACTGTTTCTCCTTAGTATGAACAGTATAGTGTTCTCTCAAGTGACATCGCTGATAGAACCCTTTTCCACACAGATTACAAAAATGCTTTCGCCTGTGATCTCTTTCATTTTCTTCCATGATGGCACTCTTAAACATATCTTGGTCTAGGCAGCCAGACATATGCTCGACCACTAGATTTTCTGTTTCAAAACGCTGGCCACAATTAGGACATCGAAAAGGACAAGCAGAATGTTTAAATAACTGCTTCTTTTGCATACTGTTCATCTGGAAATGATTGTCCCTAAAGTCATCCAACATTTCTACAAACATGTCTCTAATTTCAGACTGCTCATCAGGATTCTCCTCCATCTCCATCTTCTCCTCAGTATTCCCTAGCCCATTCATGGTCAGATCTTGGGGTTCTCCACATCTCTGAGCGTGTTCCTGAAGCTGTCTACCCTTAACAAGTATTTGTCCACATTTACCACATGCACAGATATTTTCAATGTGTTTGGCTAAGTAGTGAGACGAAAGGTCCTCTTCTGTAATAGTGAGTCCACACAGCTCACAAGATGCATTTTCAGCGTCCTCTTGTACAGGACTGCTGTTGTTAGGGGGCCGCATGTTTTCTAGACCTCCTCTTTCATCAGCATTTATCGACATCCTTGGTTTCAGACTTTTCCTGCCACTTTTTTTAATACTGACATCTTCTTCAACATAGTATCTATAAAATGGCTCTTCAGGTTCATCTTCTAAATCATCATTGTCAGTGGATTCGTTACAGTCCTTATCAGCCACTTTAATAATGTTAAAATCTTTCAGTTCATCGGTAGGAATATCTTCTGGCTCCATCTTGATGATGATTCTTTTTCTCTCTGCTGCTCTGCTTTTTTCTTCACTTCCTAGTTCAGACTCTACCGTGCTTTTTCTGCTTCCAGTGGTTGAAGCTGAATCATCAGCAGCCTGACTTGGGTCTCCTCTGTATTTGTCCGTCTGTGCAGAAAATGTTTTAGAAGAATCCTTTTCACCAAACTCAGCTTTGATATTACTGTCTTTTCCATCTCTAATATCTACTATTCTGTGGTAAGACCTTGTGTTTTGGTATGAATGTCTGTTAGTACAGGTTAGCACATGCTCGTCTAATAATTTCTCACAGCTAAAGCCAAAACCACAACTATCACAAGTAAAACTCCGTCCAAAGCGTCGTGACACACGTTCTTTTGGAGTAGATAATTTGGACACGGAACTTTTTTTACATACATCAAATAGTGGTTCAGGAAAATTACCTAATTGTAAAGACTCTTCATCAGGCTCTCTATTGTGTGGTGTATTTACTGTTGAACTTGGCTCTGCACACCACCTGTTGGCTTCACTGCCATTTCTAGCCACAGTATCTTCATACATTCTTACCCCAAATATCATTTTGCTGTTCTGTTTGCTAGAAGCAGAAGAGGAACATTTTGAACTAGAACAATCTGCATCTTGTATGTCTTCTAAACAGTCAGGAACATTGTATAGCTGTAGGTAGTTCATAGCCACTTTAAATTGCTCAAAACTGGAGGGAGCCGTCATGATTTTCCCTAAATACATAAATTGCAAAATGAGATCAAAACACTCAGCACTGATTTTCATGTTGCTGAGATTCAGTTGTGCAGTACTATGCTGATGGTTCATGAAAAACATTCTAAAATAGGAGCTACAGGCAGCTAGAACTGCTTTGTGTGCTTGAAAGTAAATGTCATCAATTGCGATACAACAGTCACAGAGAAAACCCCATTCCCTTTGGTTGTTTAGCTGCTGAAGGACGTAGCTGCTGTGGCTGGGCTTTGCCATCTTCTATTAATTAGAGACCTATGTGAAACAGAAATATTAAAGTCAGACAAGACATCAGAAAAGCTCTGAAAAAAGAATGACTTTGATCTTGATTTGTGACTTGTATGACTTTGCTATTATAATCTAGGTATGAACAGTTTTCCATTCTACTGTAGCAATATGCAGTAATATATACCTCAATCATTTTTCAATTTGAAGTTGAACATACCCTGCCAAACTTCTCATTTCAATTTTGAGAAATATAAGCACAGATATTAAGAGCAAAAGCCATCATTTTGGTTTCATTACAGCTTGGGGTAGGGAAATAATTCGTATATTAAATTTTAAAGGAATAACGTCAGTAGTTTAAAAGGACTAAAGGATACAAACAATGAAAGTAAAATAGCAACTTAAACTGAAAGTTAATAACTAGATTGTAGAGTATTAAAAACATCTTAGATGACTGATCTTAAGGAATTATTCTTTCTTTTTTAAAAAAATGTGAGAGGATATTTTGGTGATGTTAAAAGAGTCCGTATCTTTTTTATATTCAAACTGAAGCATTTATGGATGAAATTCTGTATCTAACATATATGTTACAGTAGTCCAATGGGGTGGGTATAGGTTATAGATGATACAAGATGGTCATGTGTTGATAACTATTGAAGCTGTGAGGCAGGTTTAATTCTATTTTGGTATTCTTGAAAGTTTCCATAGAAGAAATCTAAAAAACCTTAATAGGCTATATGAAAATGTTTACCAGTAGGTTTGATAATTGTTTTTGTCTTCTTGATTACTGAAGAAGCAATAATTCTGTAAAGTCAGAATACCTGTATTCTATTACTCCAATGCACTTTTAGGTATAAAGCAGTAGATCTATTTGAGGAGTTATTTATCCTTAAATCACACATTTTTCTTCCATTTGTTAATCCTTTAAAAAGTATACAAAAGAATACATGCTCATTGCAAAAATTCAAACATAAAAGTATATAAAATTAAAACACATCTCAAGTCACAGCTCTTTCCAGAAGTAACCACTCCAAACACTGCATTATATACCTATATATCTTCAGATCTGTTTGTATGTATACATTCAGAGTCAACAGGTGTTGAGAACCTACTATGTGTTAGGCAAATGTTTTTTTTTTTAACCTAAATCAGATCTATCATATTAAATATACCTTCTGAAATTAGTTTTTTATTAATATTTTATTTTATATAATTCTTACATCATTTTTCATTTTTGCATAATGTATGCATTTTCATTTTGGTTATATTCCCCATACATGAAATTAGTTTTCTTAAGGTAGACATTTTAAGTATTTTTTTTAAAGATTTATTTATTTATGCATGTGAGAACTGGGGTACGGCCAGAGGTGTGGGGAGGTGAGAGGATTCACCAGAGACAGAGCGGGGAACAGAACAGGCAGACTGACCGATTGACCGAGGAAACACTGCTGAGGGGAGCAGCGGGCGAGTCAGGAGAGGTCTGCTTTGCCATGTGGGTCACCTCCCTGCTGGGGATTGAACTCATGCTGCAGTGGCTACTGGTAGCTTCATAGGTTGTGTCTTAACCCCTTGCGCCACCAGAGAGGCCCCTTAAGTATTTTTTTTCCCCCTTAAGTATTTTTAATGTAGGGAGTTGACTTTTAAAAATTATTACTAACCTAAAATAAAATTCACTTTTAGTTTCAATTATAATCTATATACATTAAGCTTCAGAATCTAGCTTCTACTTAAAAACAAGTTCCTATAAAATTTGAACATAAAAAGAACCTTTAACAAACTCCTCAGAGAAATGTTTATTCTTCAATCCCCAAACCCTTCAATCCCTATAATTAAGACAGTATATAAGGTTACTTATTTCCACTTGCTTTTTAGCCATTTGTCACAGATAACATGTGGATCATACACCCTTTCCCCACTACCTAAAAACCCATCTTGTCTCCTCCTTCCTGATCTTCCCAGCTTTCCTGCCTAAAGACAAAAAAAAGTTGCACAGCCAGGGAGGTGGGTCTGGTGGAATGTGTGCAAACTGCAAGGACTGTAAGATAGGTCAATACTTCAACTGTGTAACTCAGATACTTGTACCAAAACTGTGAGGAATCATGTTAACTATGTACCTAAACACAAAATGCACCATATGCACAAAGATATCCACTAATGTTTTACTTATGAAGATTACAGAAGAAAACTAAGAAAGGTTTTCAGGATGGAAAGTCAAGTAAATAAACCCTGATACAAAATTATGCAACAAGTATATAAAACAAATCCAAAAAAACCCAAAATATTATTCAGAGGATGAAAAAAAGAAACATACATACAAATGTTTATCCCTAAGCCTGTTCTATGGAGGATGAGATTTCTAGGTCAATAGTTATTATGTAAGATTCAGAGAGAACTTTGTGAATAAAAACAAAGAGAGGGATAAATATTATATCACAAAAAAGTTTTCTGGCAATAAGAGTTGTTCAAAAATGAAACAAACTGGCTCAGAGGATAAGGAGAGCCCTGTATGGAGCAGGGCTGGACTGCTACTGAGGGCAGTATAGTGGATAACACTGGATGATTGATCTGAGTTCCAGTCTTATGTTTGACCTGAACAGTCAAAGTGGGGACAGTAATACCTCAATATCATATCAAATAATAACAACATATAACATCAAGCATAAAGATTCATAGAAGCCATGTGTAAAATGGGCAGTGCTTGGCATGTGATAATTAATGGGAGTGACAGTGCCCTAGAAGTGGTGGTGATGCTTATTTAAATATCAGGAGGTAAGTTTTACTAATAACTTTAAAGTTTCCTTCCAACAGGAGTCCAGCAGTATGATAGCCACCAGTTACTTTGTAAAAAGTTATAGATTTTAAATATCCCATGTTTGTTATGTTCATTGCAGCACTATTTACAATAGTTAAAATATGGAAACAAACTGAATGCCCCAAAACAGATGACTGGATCAAGCAGATGTAGTATACATACACAATGGAATACTATTCAGTAATCAAAAAAGGTAAACTTTGCCATTTGCAGCAACGGATGGCAGCTGGAAGGATGGAGCTGGAAGGGATTATGCTCAGTGAAATAAGTCAGAAGGAAAAAGAAAAATATTGGATGGTTTCACTTATAGGAGGAATATAGGGAAACCGTACAAGGGATCAGAAGGAAAAAAAAATCTAGCAGGCAAACTATAAATCGGAGATATTCAGCAGGGAAGGGGGAGGAGGAGGGATCAAAACAGGAGGGAAGAGCACAAGTGTCAATGGTGACAGTTCATGGGGTCTTGGTGGTGGTAATTTCATGGGGCAACACCCGAGAGGAGAAATCAAAATCAGACACTGTATAAAAATGAACAATGATGTAAAAATATATATTAAAAAAAGAACAAAAAATAAATAAATACCCTGTGCTTTGAAAACGGCTTAAGGACTTTTCTTTTGTGGGACCCTCGCCAGCGACCAGGGAACGAACCGGCGCTGCAGAGGCTGCAGGCAGCCTCGCAGCCCAGCGCTCAACCGCTCAACCGCTGCACCACCAGGGGAGACCCTTAAGGACTTTTCTAATCTACATGACTAGCAGCTTCATGGCCAGCAAGCTCAATTAATACAACTAGATAGACAACCAACATGATTGGCACATCTGGAGCTATAGTCACAAAAAGTACATACACTCTGTGTTAACATAAAATACTAAAACAAGGGCATTGATGGCATTTTAGTGCTTATTTTTCAAGCACTGAGTATTTTTGTGTACCAGGTACTATATAAAGTACTGAGAATCAGCAATAGCTTGGATATCCTGTCATCTCAAGGATGATTCAGGAGAATCATGACTTTTTTTTTAAGGTTTATTTTTTTATGCATACAAGAGCTGGGGTGTAGGCCAGAGGTGTGGGGTGGTGAGAGGATTCACCAGACACAGAGTGGGGAGCAGAACAGGTGGATTCACTGAAATACATTACTGAGGGGAGCAGCAAGTGAGATAGGAGAGGTTTGCTGCGCCATGTGGGCCAGCTCTGTCAGGGATCAAACTCAGTGATGCAGTGGCTGCCAATAGCTTCCTAGTGCTGAGACTTAACCCCCTTGTGCCACGAGAGAGGCCCCAGAATCATGACTTTTAAAAAAATCATTGCTCTCATCTGCATGCACCCAGTAAAGTACCTGACTCTATGGAAAAGGCATCATGCTGTGCTGAAGAGAACAAGGGCACCGTGTCAGCCTAGGTCTGTACCCCATGTCTCCATGTTTCTCTGTTTTCTTCTCACAGAGCTGGAAGTTTAAATACTGTGTATAAAATACTAACACTACAACTTCTATGCTGACCTAGAATTGTAGTTTCCTCAGTGTTATTATGCAAATATCCAAGTTCTGAGTAAAACTGGTTTTAGGCAGAGTAACTTTTAACAGCTGTAATACACACATTAGTACCCGCATTTTTGTTCTTGTTATACCTCATTCAGAAACCCCTATTCTAGTTATACCTCATTCAGTTATTCAGAACGCTTAGTAACACACCCCCACCCCCCTCAAAAAAAAGAAAGAAAAAAGAGGGCAGGAGATACGGTAGAGGTAAGGGATTTAAATTTCTGTGAGATTTTAGCTTGTTTATAATTCATTTTTATTAGACAATTTCATGCAAATTACAATTGAAACCTATAATTGCTTTTGTGTTACTAGCTGTATCACTGGCAAAACAAGTTTATTACAATTAGAAGTCAAGGGCTGAGGCTGAGAGCAGAAACTTCAAATGTGATCAAAGCCAAGAGTCCTCCTAGAAGAATCGTAGGTAGTTTTCCAGTAGGAAATAGTTAGATGAGGCAAAAATTTTTAGTTTGAAAAAATTTACCAGTTCCTCTCAAATTAAAAACAGCCACCAAGCACATTAAGCACATTGAGTAATTTAGATACTCACAGACTTAGAGAGTTTAGAAAGATCTAATCTAGTCCAACATTCTTATTTCATAGCAGGGCAAAAACCTATGGGTATTTAAAAATGTATCGGGTTATAGCTAACTGTGGTTAAGTAAGAAGACTACACA